ACTTGAATATTTATTTACTAATTACATTGCAATTATATTGACATTGTTATACTGCCTTAGGAAGGTAAGACCAGTAAGTTTTTTATAGATAGTTAAGCAAAATAAAATTATTCATAACCAGCTTTCGCCCAAAGCTTCGCTTGCATGAAATCGCCTTGAAAATAAAACATTATCTAATTAGAAGTAAAAGGTGTAAAGGTATATCAAATGGTGTTAAGCAGATAAAGCTCCCAGTAAACTAACTTAATTAAAGTTGTGTAAATTTTGAGTAGGGCGACTATAATGACGCAGAAAAAGTTTGGAGTTGCGTATTCTACTTGCATCTACTTACGTTCAGATCAGAGCCGGATTAAGCAAGCGCGGGGCCCGTAGCAAATTCTTTTGAAGAGCCCTTGATCTGCTATGGGTTTTAAGTATAAAGTGGTAAAGAAAACAATTCAATACTCAATACCTCAGGCCTCAATACGTTTATTTGCCATCTATAGGTTACACTTTTGTGAGTGATTAATAGTACAGTAGATTCCTATAGGCTCTGTTAGGCTCTGACAAGTACAAAAAGCCAGAGATGAGAATTCCTGGCAATTTAGGATGATTTTGATAAGAAACTAACAATTGAAAAGTGACGATACTGCACAATTTTTTTTAATAGATATTTCTAAATTCTAATACCTTTAAACGACCAATATTTGTATATTTATACTGGCGATCTCGGAAACGGCTCTAACGATTTTGCTGAAATTTGGCATGTGGGGTTTTTTTCTATCAGTAAGATTAACTGTCAGTTTTATGAACGGCTAGTAAGTTTAACTGTCAGTTAATTAAACTGCCAGCAAGTTAAACTGTCAGTTAGCATGACTTTCAGTTAGTTTTACTGTCAGTTTGTTTAACCGTCAGTTTGTTTTCCTGTCAGTTTGTTTAACTATCAGTATGGGTAACTGTCTGTAAGATTAACTGTCAGTTTTATGAACGGCTAGTAAGTTTAACTGTCAGTTTGTTTAACTATCAGTAAGATTAACTGTCAGTTTTATGAATAGCTAATAAGTTTAACTGTCAGTTAGCTTGACTGTCAATTAGTTTAACTGTCAGTTTGTTTGACTGTCTGTAAGATTAACTGTCAGTAAGATTAACGGTCAGTTTTATGAACGGCTAGTAAGTTTAACTGTCAGTTAGCTTGACTGTCAGTTAGTTTAACTGTCAGGTTGTTTAACTGTCAGTAATATTAACTGTCAGTAAGTTTAACTGTCAGTTAGCTTGACTGTCAGTTACTTTAACTGTCAGTTTGTTTGACTGTCAGTTTTATGAACGGCTAGTAAGTTTAACTGTCAGTTAGCTTGACTGTCAGTTAGTTTAACTGTCAGTGAGATTAACTGTCAGTAAGATTAACTGTCAGTAAGATTAACTGTCAGTTTTATGAACGGCTATTAAGTTTTACTGTTAGATAGCTTGACTGTCAGTTAGTTTAACTGTCAGTGAGATTAACTGTCAGTAAGATTAACTGTCAGTTTTATGTACGGCTATTAAGTTTTACTGTCAGATAGCTTGACTGTCAGTTAGTTTAACTGTCAGTAAGATTAACTGTCAGTAAGATTAACTGTCTGTTTTATGAACGGCTAGTAAGATTAACTGTCAGTAAGATTAACTATCAGTTTTATGAACGGCTAGTAAGCTTAACTGTCAGTTAGCTTGACTGTCAGTTAGTTTAACTGTCAATTTCTTTATCTGTCAGTAAGGGTAACTCAACATATAGGATACTTTTTATTGCGGGAAAATATCTCATCTCTGAGAAACTACTAAACGTTAAAACGTAAGTAGGGACGAACCCGAGCGAAGCGAGGGTGAGTCACTAGTATTCACTAAGAACACCGAACGAAATATGATATACATATGTACATATTTAAGACATGTACTTACAACGAGTGCTACTCATTTAGGTACAGGTATCGGGAACATTCATCTTTTTCCATCGACCAAGATTCATAAGAATAATTATGTAAGTGTATTGAATGAGCTATTACATTTTTAAGTCGATTAGTACGCTGATTTCAGTGATGTAAATAAAACCTGTACAGTGGACTATTTTTGCGTAGGTATTATTCTCACGTTCGTCAATGTAATATTGACTGACAAGGGTCGACTATACAAGATCTACTTTGCAGACTATGTGTTCTTTTGTGTCAGTCATCATATGGGCTTTAAATAATTCATAGAAGCGTTAGTAAAACTAGATACACATTTATATAACACTAGCGACTCACCCTCCCTCCGCTCGGGTTCGTCCCTTGTTACGTTTTAACGTTTAGTAGGTATAGATTTCTCAGAGATGAGACATTTTCCCGCGGTAAAAAGTATTCTATATGTTGATCCGAATAACCAACTGTCATCATACCAAATTTCGTCAAAATCCCTTCAGTGGTTTTTCTGCAATGCGGTAACAGACAGACAGACAAAAATTCTAAAAACTATAGATTCAGCCTCTGTATCGAACATAATGTCTATTTAATTAAGATTTTCCAAAAACTATTTAATGTACAGATTCGGCTTAGTTACAATTTTATTATATGTATAGATATAAAGTGCTTACTTGACTAATTCATGAATGCCCAGATAGAACAGCTGTACTTGAAGGGTTGTAATTTTGACGTCTATCCAAATATCAATGAATCCCTTATTCAGGGTAACTCAAGATAAGCTTAAGAAGATTAGTATCTAGAAGTGTTAAAAGAAAAAGTATGTAGTTGCTAGTTTAAAATGCACTTAACGAAGAGAACGGGATAGGGAGCCAAGGTCCAACCAGATATAGTGACACAGTCTTACAAACAAACGCATAGATCTATATTACCTACTGACAGTTTGTACAATTGTTTTAGCTTTACCTCGAATTCTTCCTCATATTTCAGGAGTTAACTGTAAAGTTTACTACTTTACAAGTATATAACTCATTACTCACGTAACCATAGATATTTCACACGCTTATGCACAATCACATTCAACCTGCAATTATATTGAGTGACACCCAAATTTTATGTAATTTGATTTCACTACTCCCTTCCTAGCGGTTCACATCATATCTTTTTTTGTCAGCAATAGGTATAGAACCAGTAATCCAGCCATATAATAGGTACAAATATATGACTGTGACATATGGACAGACAGACAATTGGACATAACGAAATTGAAGGGTAAAAAAGACAAAATATTTAACGCCCTAGAAAACGCAAGCGACATTTAAAAATTAACACTGACAAAAACATTAAACATATTTTTTATATTTACCTACTTACAAAGAAATTTATTTTCAACTAGTGTTACGTTTTAAGTTTTAACTTTTAGTATGATGAGATATTTTCCCGCGGTAAAAAGTATTCTATATGTTGACACGGATAACCAGCTATCATTATACCAAATTTTATCAAAATCCCTCTTCTAGTTTTTCCATGATGCGGTAACAGACAGACAGGTAGATAGACAAAAATTCTAAAAACTATAGATTCGGCCTTTGTATCGATAATAATGTCTATTTCAATAAGATTTTCCAAGAAATATTTAATGTACAGATTCGGTTTAGTATAATAGTATATAGATAGACTAGCAGAATCCGCGGCCTCGCTCGCGCTACCCTTATTATTACACTAACTCAATTTTATCCCCTTATGGGATGAATTTCGAAAAATGCTAAATCACGTATTTATTTAATTGAAGAGTATTAATAGTTAGTTTCGAGTAATTCTGATCATAAATATTTTTTTGGTTTTTATTATAACGTGTTTTCCTGTAGGAATGAAATAATCTCCCGGGTTAAAAGGTAACCTATGGGCTATGTCACTCTCCAACCCTCCAACTATCTTCACACAAAAAATCACGCCAATCCGTTTCAACGTGCAAAAAGGACAAACAAACAAACTTTCACATTTATAATATTAGTATAGATATAAACTATATAGATATATCTATTTGTATATATGCATGGCTGACAGAGCTGTGTGTCTATCTAAAGGGAACGGCAGTTGCGGGCCGTGTTCAGTGTTCCAGGCCAGTGGTTCATCACTCGCGTCGAATACCCAACATTGCGGTCTGCGCGATCGCTCTATAAAACTACGTTTTTCAATCAGTTTTCAGATTTACATCAGCTATATCACACGTGTGATGTAGCTGGGGAGATAAAGTGAAATGATCAATTACCATGCGAATATGGGGTAGTTACGGAACACTGCATACACGAAGTTAAGTTTATTTGAAATGTGAAGTCTAAACATAAATAAATTCTTTGTTAATCTTTTATAATCAAAAACTAAGTTTTCGCTATGAGTATGAGCATTTTGAGCGTTCAGATATTAACTAATTAATTAAATCTTATTCTCTAAAATTTTATGTAAAGCTTATTTGTGCGTGAATATCTAAGTCTGTAAAACTGAAAAAAGTCCATTGTGCATAATAAATAATAATAGAAATATCATGGACAATATAAAATCGATTCGGTTGTATTAAATACGCAACATTTAGTATATACATTTCCAGTGTTTACAAGAAAGTAAAGTGTTAATCAACACATTCATTCGACTGTGTAGATTAATCCTTTAAGGGAAATTCTCCACTAAGATTAGATTGAGGTTGTATTAGAATAGTCTCCGACACACAATAGATGTTTCTTTTTCATGAAGCTTTCAATTTAGTTTTTACACTACTTTAATGTTATATAGTATATACATATTACAATATTTTGGATGTCTTTAATATTTTCTTCGAACACTCAAATTGTAAATATAATATAATGAATAATATAAACAAAATTGATTTTTTTTCTTTATTGTTTTTAATTTGGTATTTCCCTTTTATACATTTAAAAGTAGATTTTTTATTACAATAATGTTATTTTATAATATGTGTTTTTCTTATGAAAAATTATTAACAGAAATAATTATGACTGTATGCACAAAATTCAAAATGCTAGTTATATAAAGATGATAAATAATATTTTATTTCACATAAAATTCTTGACATCAATCAGACATTCTAACAGGTGTAAGCTTTTCATTTGGTAAAAGTTTTACTACGCAATCTGTACAGTAGTCTGTCCCAGCATTATCTGTCCATCTTGCTCCAAGAAAACCAATCTTTTGACACCCAACACACATAGTTTTTGTTTGATAAACTGGGGAGTTTTCATCTAACATTCTTTGTTCCTTTGCTGCTTTTAATAATTCTAGTGAACTTTTACTACATATTTTCAAATCTGGCATATTTACTTGAGTTCCACTATCATATGGATCTTCCATTTTAACAGGCACATGAAGTTGTGGGAAAAATGTTGATTTCTTATAAAATAAAGACCGACTTCTATCTTTAGCTACTTTTTTTGGTGCTCGACCTGGTATAGGTAATCCTGCTTTAGCCAATTTTGCAAAGTACTTCTGCAATCTACTCATAACTTGAATAGGAGTGCGTGTACCTAGGGCATCTGCAATCTTTTTGTATCGCCTTGCTTCTACTGGTTCCTCTGGATAGATTTCTAACAATTCTTCTAATCTCTTTTGTTCTTCACAAGACCATAATTGGTTAAACGTTTCAGGTTTACTATCAGTAAATTTTCTCCCTCTGACTTTTATGCTTGATTCTAATTCTGTAATTTGGTTTATGTCCTCATTTTTCAAAGATGTATCTATTCCATATTTATTCCAGTCAATAGCAGGCAAATCACCTATAGTTTGTCGCGGGGGGAAGTTTATTTTGCCCGATTTTAAGTCTTCAACAAATGCCAATGGATCTTCTAATGCTTTTCTTTCAGCATCTGCCAAATTTTCTATATCTTTCAGTGCATTAATTTTTTGTGCTTCTAAATGGACAATGTATTTTAATAGTTCTGAATAATCACTATTACCTCGTAGGGCCAAGTGATCAGTTTCAAAAGCAAATTCGCCATCCGTATCTGAACTATCAAAATCCAATTCCTCCATATCTAAAAATGATAGAAAATAGATACAATGTGAAGTAGAGGGATGAATACGATAAAAATACCTGGTAGTCCAAAGAAATTAACTGCTCATATAAAAAATAAATTAAATAGTGTACATAGCAAAAAATGCAAACCTGAATTTAGAAGCACATCATTAGAAGGATGGACGAATCGGTAAGTATGAAATATTGTTTATTATGCCAAATTTCTTAAAATATATATTTACAATTGCTTTTTTATATATAATATAACCACAATTATTCAATTTTTAAAAATCATATGCGGCTCTCAAATCTCAATTAGTAAACAATAAACATTAATTCGTTCAAATTCAGTATTGATTCAAATCGCAAGACGTCATGTGTCAAAATGTTTGCCATATTTAGCAGTTTGCATTCAGAAACGATTTTTTTGATTCATTGTATGCAAATATAAAAAATATTAATCAACTAATGTATTTGTATAAATATAGTAAATAAAAAAATAACTCATTAAATTATTCATATTATAAGAGCAATAAAAAATATTTTTATATACGACACTATTGCCATCTAGCGTTCAATAGCTGAAGCTTTACAGCAGTCGGAGAACACTTTGAGTGTTGGTCTAAGTTTACTTAATGTTGATTCTAGATGTCGCTTTTCCATTTTATAAATATAAAATTATTTTTATAATTAAGTACCTATGTATATTATTACATAATGGTTTTCAATTTATTTTATTTAAGCAAAAACCCTGATATATATTATTAGTATGTAAATACTTATAACAATAAATTATTAACACTACAATAAAAACACATAAAATTTTATTTTAAATAAATAATATATTTTATAAAAAAAACATTTAAAAAAATTAGGTAAATGAAATCAATTAAATATTAATTATTGAATATTCGTTCCACTATAGATGACATTATATCTACTGTACTATAATAATGTAGTTTTATTATCGATGCATCTTGTTATATTGTGTCAGAATACACAAAAGGCAGAGTAAGTTGGACTGATGACAATATCTAAAGCCTTATTACATAAAAGTTTAAACACAGGCGTCAAATATAGTTCAAGTCGTCAATCTCAGAAGCAATAAATATTGAAATATCTAATATAAGTTAGGATGATATATCAGTATCGGCATGACACAGGCCACTGATTCTCCTTTATGACGCCTTATTTACATTTATAGTGCAATCGGACATCAAAAGAAAACCGTAACTAGGGAAAATATTTGATACATAACTAAATAATACACTGTTATGAAAAATAATTTGATATTATGACGTAACAAGATATATTTGTTGTTGTTGTTGTTGTAAATAACAATGTTCCATAGTCAATCTATATTAGACTAGCAGAATCCGCAGCTTTGCTCGCGCTTTAACTGCAAAAAAATGTCTAAAAGGGTAGTTTCATACAAACTTTCATCCCCTATTTTACCCCATTATAGGACGAATTTCGAAAAATGCTAAAACACGTATTTGTTTTATTTTATTAAAGAGCATTAATATCAAGTTTCGAGTAATTCTGATATCTGATAGGAATAAGATAATCTTGCGCGGTAAAAAGTAGCCTATGTCACTCTCCAGCCCTCCAACAATCTCCACATAAAAAATAACACCAATTAGTCACTCCGTTTCGATGTGAAAGAAGGACAGACAAACAAACAAACAAATAAACAAACACGTTTTCACATTTATAATATTAGTATGGATACCTACACTGTTCAAGCAATTCTTATATAAAGCGCCATTTTGAATACATCCAATTACATAATATTAGATAAGTAATAAGTAAGTATACAAATTTAAGTAGGATCCGGGGATATTAATAAAAGCGTTCATAACACACTTATCTATATATTCTATTAAAACTAGACAAAATAGTGTTTACACGTATCGTCGTGCCTCCATTATGACAAAACATCCTTCTTTTCTTTTACTCATCTTTCATTCCATTCCATTCTTAAAATTATATCATACATCTCCTTTTAATCTTAAAATATCATTTCACGTATACTCATCTCGCAAATCGTACATTTACCTATCTTATTTTTTTCTACTACTACTACTACTACTAAATACTACTACTAAATACTATAAATAGTAATTTTATATTTAGTAAAAGCTATTTTAGTTAATAGTCAAGAGGTTAAGGAAAGCCGAGATTCTCACGGCACGTGCCTTCAGAATGGTCAAAGTTGCTAGGTTCATGTACATAATATAATAATATTATGTAAGAATATCCTCTATGAATATTAGAACAGTTGTTTGGTCTAGGTTCTACTAGAAATTGCTTCGAACCGACATTTACTGCTTCACTTCTTCATCACGAGAAATAATAAAGAAAGTATTTCTTAGAGAATTATTTACAAACTTCAAGAGAACTTACGTGCTGTTGAAATATACGTTCGCCATCTAATTAAATTACATTGTTGGAGATTCATTAGAGAATAGAGATTGATGTTAGATATTATAGTATAGGTATATATAATAAAAATCTGTAAATAAAAAAAAACTTTTTAAGTAAAAGTTAGAAAGAGGTTTGAAATACTATATTCTGCGAAAATCATAATATATTGCACTCTTAATAAGTCCTCGCTGACCAAGACCAAGTATGTTGGACAGCACTAGCGAAGGACTTAAGCCTGATGAAAACTACACAACGTCTGAGCGCTACGTACCAGATGGCATCGTAACACTGATAAAATTTATAGTTTTTACTCGTTTTGAGTTTATAACATAGATTTAATTATATTTTATCTGATAGAGGTTTAAATCATTACTGTATTCATTTAATAAAGTATGTATGAGTATATCGTAGGGTGAGATTAAAAATAAAAGATAGAAGCTACAAAGGCAAGATGATTAAAATGATGAGATATTTTCCCATAGGAAAAAGTATTCTATATGATGACCCGGACAACCAACTATCATCATACCAAGTTTCATCAAAATCTGACCAGTGGTTTATTCGTGATGCATTCACAGACAGACAGAAAGTCAGACAAAAATTCTAACAACTATAGATTCAGCCTCTGTATCGATAATAATGTCTATTTCAATAAGATTTTCCAAAAAATATTTAATGTACAGATTCGGCTTAGATACAATTTTATTATACGAGTATGTATAGATAGATATCCGGCACGCCACCGTTTACCGTAATAACATGAATCAGTTTTACTGCCAAGGCGCGCCTATATATGTTTCACATAAAAAAAACTACATTTTATTTCATTATAACCATTTTTGTTTATTTATAGTAACGACATAGTAATATTTAATTACCAATTGAAATAATTACTTATAAGCTAGATATCCTTTCAGTTACGTAACAGAACACCTACAAAACACTGTTTGTGGCATTTGTATTGTGGTTTCCACGCGGTCGAAGTCAGGTTACTGACGGCTTCAGTTACTATTGTTCAAGAAATAGAGTTATTTTATTATTACAACTAGGAAGCTTGGAACAAGCAAAATTATTATAAATAACTTGTAATTAAAAGGTTTTTTATCCGACATAAAAAAGGACGAAATGTACAGTTGTATGCTTTTTCAATTTAGATTTCAAATTTATGGAAATAAATCACGGCTGAGAGTGAAAAAGTTTCTTTTGAGTGTGATCTTTTCAAAGTAGATATAAGTTTTACAGTAAATTATATTCCATTTTTTTGTACTTATAAAACTTATGTATATATGTATGTATAGGTATAGGGTAAGAGCCGGATAGTTGCCCTACTTTTTTTAAAACTCCAATTACATAAAAAATAAGTATCTACTTACAATATGCCCCGTGTATAATAAAACATTGGTCCTTAATCTTTCATTGTGACCTATTTTTTTAAACACAATGAATATTGTTTTCCAGTAAATCCTGTTTTATTTGACCTCTACTAAAGGGGATAGTTGCCCTCTGTGGCGGATAGTTACCTTATGTTAAAAATGCTTTGGAGGATACTTGCCTTATGCGGGGATAGAAGACTCATTATGAAATTGTTGCATTTTTTTTGGATTAAAACAAATTAAATTAAATTTAATCAACCATTATTAATTATTAACATCAATTAATTAAGTAGTAGGTATTTACTAATCGACTTAATACAACTTTTAAACTATAAATAAAATCTCCACAATTTAAGTTATAAATAATAATTAACTTTAAAGATAAAAACAATATGGTAATCAACTTTGACACTAATATTAAAATTAGTCGGTAGGTTATCATTATATATCATCAAAAACAGTTTAAAAATCATCATCAATTACGAAGTCATAACTTTTAATTTTCCACATCTCAAACAATATTCTTTGAATGATGAACGAGTTTCCTGGAAATACAATAAAGTATGATTTGGATTTAGTATTATTGTAATTTTTAAAACATTTACAATAATCATCAACTAAAACTTTATCATTCGCTTTTTCTATTTTTGTATTAATGTTAATAACTTTTACTGTCTTTTCAGTCTCTCTTATCGTCTTTAATTTCTTACTTCTTTTTTTGTACTCTTTTAGTAGCGTTTTCTTTGGCTATTTTTGTATTTAATATGCTTTTTTCATTTTCACTCTCGGAACTATAAGTTTGTTATTTGTCATCCTTAAAGCTATTTTTCCGCTCAGTTTAATTAAATCTATGTTTTCAAATTCAGTTTCACTGCGAAAGAAATCGTCATAACCTTTGATCTTTTACTTTCGTTTCGACCTCTTTTCTTCATAATTATTGTCTCTATATCAACTGATTTACTTTCTACTGTCTTAAAATCTTTTTATTTCGTTGTCTCCATTCTATTTCTTTTTGTAATGTTTGTTTCTTCTTCTTTATTCTGTTTTTCGCCTACCTACAACTCTAATTGTCCTTAGGGCAACTATCCGCAAAATTATATGGGGCGACTATCCTTTTCGGTACGGATACATGCCCTTATATTTTGAAAAATAAATAAATGTTATTCGACAGTTTAAGGTAATAGGTAGTGTAACTTAAACTTCAGTACACGCGTAGAAGCAAAAAGTTGACTGAATCGACAATTTTAAAAAAAAATTCAATATATAAAAATACACACGAATATAATTTCAACGCTCGTCAACGTCCTGCCGCGGAAGATTTTCGCTCACACGGATAAAACACGTTTACCTAGTCCCACTTCTGGCGTCGTCCTAAGGTCTGTGGAAGAGGCGCTTCAAATTACAGAAGAACACTAACATCAGGGACATCTCTAATATAGCGTATTGAAAACCGGGGCATGTATCCCACTGGGGCGACTATCCGGGTTTTACCCTATACATAACACATCGCTTCTTTCTTCTCTTCGCTGTTCGGTTAGCTCGGAATAAAATAAGGTTAGAAATATGTAAGTTATCGTCAAAAAATAAAAACGTAAAATTATTATTAAACTATAATTTGCGTAACTTATAATATTCCCGTAAATTATACATAATAATAGTACAATTAACGCAATTAATATAGGGCTACAAAATTTCTTAAAAATGGTGCTTACAATTTGAATTTCATCGAAAGGGGCTTTCTTGTTTCGTTCTGTTAGGCTTCGATAAGGGCGGTATCGAAGCCGTATAGAAACGTAATTAATTTTCTACATATATGTAATCGAATCTCCCAATAAATAAATAAGTAAGGACTCATCCTCGCTTTGCTCGCGTCCCTAAGTACGTTTAAATAGATAAAAATAGTAATTTTATATATGTACAGTTAATATAAAAATAACAAATGTAAGAATTTACGAAATTTCTTGCCCTGTTTTTATTTTGTTGAACGTTTTATTTTAAGGTTTATTCAAACAGCACGCGCGTCAGTATTCTAATTTACTTAGTCATGAATTGATGTAGCACTTAGCACCAGATGTTGAAAATAGCGTGATACTACGAATTGGGAGTCACGTATTTCATTTACAAGCTCAAGTTACAAGCGCTAAGCCTTTCGTTTATTTGTCTAAGTAATGTAGTACCTACTAATAAATCCTATTTTAACACTAGCATTGCCCGCGGCTCCACCCGCGTTCAGATGACCAAAAATCAAATACTTAGGTTTTACAGATTAGTATACTCTTACATTGCAGTTTTTGCATTTTTTCTCAGAAATGAGATATTTTCCTGAGATAAAAAGTAAGGATACTTTTACCCGGATAACCAGCTATCACCATACCGAATTTCATCAAAATCCTTTCAGTGGTTTTTCTGTAATTCGTTAACAGACAGACAGACTAAAATTATAAAAACTATAGATTCGGCCTCTGTATCGATAATAATGTCTAATTCAATAAGATTTTCCAAAAAATATTTAATGTACAGATTCGGCTTAGTTACGATTTTATTATATGTATAGATAATAAATTATTTCAATATTTAGTTTGTTAAACAAGAAATTAACTCTTCCATTTGGTACAGTGTTAGCGTTAGCATTAACTGAATTAATTAGTTGTATTACAGCAGTTATAATATTTTAGGTAAGAAACGCGTGATTTAGGATGATAAGACTCAAGACACATTCTAAATTTAATCAGGCAATGTAAAATGTTAACTTCCAAAACACATATTCGGGCGTTAACTCTTAAGATTATATTCACCATAACCCGTAAGAAAGATCACACGAACCTTAAGCAGAAGATAAACTAATGAAATAAATTTATTTTGTACTAAAAATGTAGAGTATAGTATAAGAAAATATCTAAATATATGACAAGCAAAATTTACTCACATTAATATTAAGTGTACAAACAAACTTGGTTCTATTTGCTTTTTTTGTTTTTGTTTTGGGAAAGTGTCAAATCGTTCAAAAACATTATTTATCTAAAAATTATATAACTTTCATAAACTATGATGTAATGTTACTTGCTGATAATGGAAAATGTTATAGCAAAACTTTTCTTACAAGGTTTAGTTGACCATCCATCATAGAGAAATTCAAAGAAGGTCGACATTGACATAAAAAATGCGCGCACAATAAGACGCGTTAGTAAGGGCAACGTAAAGGGTGTCATAAGGTTAGATGTTCGTAGCGCCAGCGGCACGCGAGTTTTCAGTCGTGAAGCAACACCCGGTCGAGTCGCATCTCGCCTCCCACCCACGGAAACTTGCAAACGCGGGAAATTTTAACTACAAAAACTAATATTCTGCTTTTTTTCGACAGCTCTATATAAGAACATAACACAAATTAATGTGTATAACATTGCTGGTTTTTACCGGTCGTGATGTAACAAGTGTTAACCATTTTCGAGTAAGGTATATTCGTTTCTCCACACTCCGATTAAACAAACTTAACTCGTTACCAAAGTGACGCATATTTTAGTGATATGTGAAATTTATATATTTAGGTACATTATGATCTAGGTGCGATTGAATATTATACCTAATAATTCCAAAATAAAAAATATGAAAATGCACGGGTCATATTAAAATAAATTAACTAAGTGACTTTTAAAATTATTCAAAATAAGCTATAAGCTGTTAAAGTTAGCTTAAAATAAATATTTACAAAACAATAAAGCATATCACTCTCTAAGAACATTTGTGACCTAAAGAGCAAACTACGGAAATATTAAGGATAAACTATGTAAAATATATTGGATATCGAAGTGAGTGGTTGATTAGAAATAGTTACAGCAACAGTTTGTAATCACAGCGTTAGTTTAGTAGAGTAAAGAGTTAAGTAGAGCGAATGGTGTGCGATGGTGGCGCCATGCTTTGCTTGGAGTCTCTGATGACGCGGTGGCGAGAGAGAGGGGAGCGCGACGGCCGGCGTACGCGCTCCCGGAGCTTGTGCTCATCTGCAGCTGATGGCAGCCTCTTGCAACTGCTGCATCGAAGAGCTAGTAGCGCGATGTAAGTATCGAGCATACTTCTAAATCTTAAAATTACGCAATGCATAATCAAAACGTTTATCTTAAGATAAAATAAAATCTTTTTTGTAATACTGTATGCGACATCAAAGGTTACAAATGTTACGATTCTTACGATTAAGCTCACTTTACCTAAGTTAGTAGTATTAATACTAATCTTCGTAATCCAGTTTCTGCTGATACTATGATATTTTGCCGTATATTTTTAAATAACTCTTACCTATTAAGATGATTACTTTGAGTAACCGTTTAAAAAAATCCTTTTTTAAACAAATATATATATAAGTAAGGATACAATGAACATAAAAAGCTTTTGCATTGTTATCATATATATAAATAACATGTATGTAAAAATACATAAGTAGAAAGTTTAAATTTTAGGAGAATAATATTCTCTTAAAAACAAAATTATATAAAACGCTACATTATCTATTTTACTGTACATCTTATAGTTTACTTTATATAATTCAATTTCATAAGAGATTTTTAACTTTTTGAAGATATAGTTCATTTACAATTACCTATATTAAACATTCTGAAAATTAATAAATATTAAACTAGCAAATAAAAGATATAGATAATTTACAAATAAATCTAAATCATTTGATTATCTTTTCACAATATATGTATAATATAGAATCACACAGTAGTGTTATTGTTTCTTATATTTACCAATTCATAAAGAAATACCCATTACTAATAATATTTGAAAACAACTTGAGGTCGTGTGCTTCAGCCGCATTTTGGATCGATTCGTTCGCTGCATCGCATCCGTCTTTGCCACTTTATGTGCCTGTGAAAAGATAGGATACGTAAAGCAGTTGTTAAAAATATTAGGACGAATCTGTTTTTGTAGATCTAGTTTTATATGAGTTCGATTATGTAACAAAGTCGACTTTGTTACATAATAGGGTTGACCGATTTGTGTATTTACAATTGACTTATAGCGTACTGTGGGTGTTTTTCTTACAACTGGTTTCGTCGTAACCTTGATATTAAGAGTAAATAAATTGAGAGTTACATCAAAAGTTCCAACTGAATGAGTAACAATTTATTACTATATGAAAGCAAACTAATCTGATATTTTCTTGTAGATAAGTACGAGTATATATGTTAACTTTGACACAAACAAAATATTTGACTTCGTAATCTATTTTTTTTGTTATTCCAATAGTTGGTAGAATACGCAAGAATACGCAAAAATGCTGATTTTATTCTCTCTACCAATTGAAATAATCCTTGGCTTAATCTATACATATATATGTACGTATAAGGCAAAGACAAAACAGTTCAGTACTTCTCCTTTGTTTGTCAACCGATTTTTGTTTTTTTTTATGTTAAGTAGCTTTTGACGAGCTTTAGTACTATCAATAAAAAAAGCTAACGATCGAATTTCGATCATTGGGAGAACACTAGTATTAATGAACATTTAATACTGAAAATTCAACCTAATAATGATATCGAACAACACAAATATCCTTTTGTTCTCACCATCATCATCACTCAGCCTATCGCCGTCCACTGCTGAACAAAGGCCTCCCCCAATGAGCTCCAACCATCCCGGTCTTGGGCAGCCTGCATCCATCCACTGCCAGCCACCTTTCTTAGGTCATCTGTCCATCGTGCTGCAGGGCGTCCTACACTACGCTGGCCTAAACGCGGTCTCGAGTAATGTGCAATTATGCTCTCGAGCATCTCATCATTTTTATTTTTTTAAATATACATTATATTATCTAAGTTACAATGGCATTACCGAGAAGTTTATAATGAAAACCTATATCAAGATACTAAGTCAGTTGGTAATACTCTCTATACTATCAATATATTAGTATAAAGCAAAATCGTTGTTTTTGTCTGTCTGTTTCTCCGCTATCTCCTTCTACGCAACAGATTAAGGTAGGGGTGTCACTATCATTTAGAGAATTTCTTCCGAAAGGTTTATATGTATATATATTATTATAGTAGAAAAAGCCAAGGATTTCAAAGATTTGTAATGATGTTGTAAAAACATATTTTTGGGCGCTTACATTGCTAACGCTAGCTATCCTTTACGAGATAGATTAAAATAACGTACTACGGAATTGTATATGTTAAAAAGGTCTACAGAAAAGTCCGCGATGTTATATATATATATATATATATATATATATAATATATATATATATATATATATATCCTAAGGATAACCCACAGTAGCCATTTTTATACTTTACACGTTATTAAATAATAATGCGGTTTTACGAAGCTATTTTAAACAATACAATATGAATCCTTATCCAATTAAATAGATCTAGATACGTTTTCCATTTATTTACATCAAATTTGCCTTTTACAGCATATCATTAAAATGAATATCTTAGAAGATACCACAAAAATTAGTAATCGTTCGCAGCGAAACGGGTAACATTTCATCAAAACAACGTACTAGAAAATTATAGGCCTTAATTATCCTACAGAAAAGTCCCCGATAGCATGTGTCCATCTCTAAAACTTAACACTATGAATATTTTTATCTATTCAAAACGTATCTAGGGACGCACCCGAGCGAAACGATGGCAAGTCGCTAGTAACTTATAATCTAATAAAACTATAATATAATATCTAAGTGTTCTGACTAAGAAATGCCTAACTTTTTAAATTGCATTAGCTTCCTCTGTTCAATACGAAAATAGAAAACAATATGATAAAATGTTCTAGACAATTCTCTCGATATTCCACTTCACATTTTATTTCGTTTAAATATTCAAAAGTTCGGTTATTTCAGCATATGAATCTGTTTTGAATTGTTTCAACAAATGTTGTGTATTGTATTTGGTATTTCTATTTAATAAAATAAAAATATCAGTCAAAAATTTTAACCGCATGCTGGTACATGAAACTGTCCGGTTACACAGCTAACGAAGATTATCTATCTGACCTCACTTAAATTTTAATATATTATTTCAAAAGTTTAAACATTCACAATTTTACATTTTTTGTGCAATATCTGACTGCACGTAGATTTTTAGCCCGTACTCAACTAGAACCTACATTTTGGAAAAATATATTTTATAATTATTTTTATATACGTACCAACTTAATGCTTTTTATTTCATGATGCATAACATGTCACAATTGTCTGGTTTCGAATATTAAAACTCTAGATGCATAAATGTTAATTAAAAGATATTTGCTACAGAGAGTGGAATGCGAGATACTATTCTTAATAAAGATGGACGCTACAATTTCGAATTGGTACTTGGCCTGGAAATGACTATCATTTCAATTCTATCTAAGTAGCTATACCATAATTGCATTCAAACGCACTCAGCCATTTTCAAGTGACTATTTTTGTTAGTACAAATATATCTCGGGTATTTGAATGTCATAATCTATATATAAATGTTCTTTACCGGAACCTTTATAATTTCATTATGCCCATTCAACCGTCCTTTCGTGTTAATGTGTATTAATGAATTTTTCCATACCGATGATCAGGTGGAAATTCATCATTTGCTTACTAAACATTTTCAAAATATTCCCATTTTATCAATATAAGTGATCTATTTCTTTCAACATTTTAATTAATTATTATATACTGGCATTGCCCGCGGCTCCGCCCGCGTTTAAATGACCAAAAATCAAATTCTTAGGTTTTACATATTAGTATACTCTTACATTGCAGTTTTTGTATTTTTTCTCAAAAATGAGATATTTTCCCGCGGTAAAAAGTACCCCATATGTTGACCCGAATAACTAGCTATTATCATACCAAATTTCATCAAAATCTCTCCAGTGGTATTTCCGTGATGCGGTAACAGACAGACGGACGGACAGACAGACAAACAAAAATTCTAATCACTATAGATTCGGCCTCTGTATCGATAATAATGTCTATTTCAATAAGATTTTCCAAAAAATATTTAACGTACATATTCGGCTAAGTTACAATTTTATTATATGTATAGATTTTTATGTTTTCTACTTATATGCTATTCTTTTTTTTTAAATCCAATGCAGTGAACGAAAAAAACAAATGAACGTTGAAAAGACGCGTCACGGTTTTGGCCTACTTTTGAATAAGGACAAATTAGGTCATTTCAAGATGGGCAATAAGATGCATAGGACGACAAACTGATTCAAATCTGTAAGCTTCTTCATCTCGTATTTTTAAGAATATACGTAAAATATACAGAATTTTGAAGTAACGTATTTTTTTAAGCTTTTTATATTTATTCTTAGATTGTAAACAATACAGTCTTAAAGAAATTGGATTGGTAGTTAATGGCTGCGCCTATTTGGTTATTTGAATAAAAATAAATAAGTGTATTAAGTTTGATTACAGAAATTGCTTTGCAGCCTTTTTACCAATTTATACTGAAATATACTTATTTTTTTCATGACCTGAATTCTGTTTCTCTACTCACGAGTTCGATTACTGTTTTAGTTATATTGGAAATGTAGTGTTCCAAGCATCGTAAACATCTATTGAACCAATGATGTTTTGGTAGATACCTAAATGTTAGTTGATAGACATTAATAGCTCTAAGTTAGTTTTGAGTAATAAGCATTTCACTAAAACTATTCTATTTGAAAGGCACTTTGTAGGTACTTTATGGAGCCATTATTAAGCTTCATCGAAGATTTATTAATTTTTGTTGGAATTGTGACCTACTTACACCTCTGCACGCTAATGTTGAAATGACGTTGAGGGTAGTGTAAATTACATAGTGGATAAGTCGAACAAATCAAGATAGGAAGTTCAAACATTTTAGTTATTTATTACTTTACTTGAAAGTAGTTTTTTTATGTTTATACAAGTTTTAAATAATTTTACGTGATCTTATAACTATTATTGTTGGAATGAGAATTTGACTTGTTCACTATAATAGATTTTTTATTGCTTTTACGTAAATAAATAAAAAAGCTAATTTAAATACTGAACTTTTCATTCCATAGAATTATCACTGCATTAAACTTTATTTCAATTTTTAATCCTGTAGGAAAAATATTTATATAATTTTCACTCGCAAAATTCTTTATGACATA